TGCTTCATCCAAGACGTGTTTAACAATCCTTCCAGAATTCAGGATGTTAATCAAACCTTGCTTTGTCTAATCCCAAAACTGGATTCCCCCCAGTCTTTTAAGGATTTTAGACCCAGTAGTCTATGTAATGTCATCTACAAAGTTGTTACTAAGATTATTGCTAACCGTTTGAAATTGCAGATGAACAGATTAATAATGCTCAATCAGTGCAGTTTCATTAAAGGGAGACAAGGTACATATAATGTCATCATTGCACAAGAGATCATCCACTCTATGAGGTCTAAACGTGGATCTAAAGGCTGGATGGCCATTAAAGTGGACCTGGAGAAGGCTTATGACAGAATTAATTGGGATTTTTTGCGGGATACTCTTCAGGATATAGGTCTCCCCAATCATATCAGTAATCTCATCATGGAATGTGTCATCTAGCTCTATGAATGTCTTATGGAATGGAAAAAAAACTCAGGAATTCCAACCTTCCAGGGGTCTCAGACAAGGTGACCCTCTTTCGCCATATCTCTTTGTTCTTTGCATAGAGAGACTGGCGCAGTTGATCTCTGTTGCAGTGGAGCATAAACATTGGAAATCGGTGGTGATAAAAAGGGAGCCCCCATCTCTCACTTATTTTTTGCCGATGATATGATCCTATTTGCTGAAGCCACTCAGGAGCAGGCCAATATCATTCATCAAGTCTTAAATACCTTCTGCACAAGCTCAGGGCAAAGGGTTAACTACGGAAAGACAAGAGTTTTCTTTTCCCGTAATGTCAACCATGTTGTAATGGAAGACCTAAGTCAACGCATGGGATTCTCCTTAACTCATGACCTTGGCCGCTATCTAGGTATTCCCTTACATCACAAACGTGTAGGTAGAGGTACCTTCAACTATATCTTGGATCGTCTTCATTCGAAAATCCAATCATGGAACCATGCAAGCCTATCTTTAGCAGGTAGAATCACTCTATCCAAAGCAATTTTGGCTGCTACTCCATTATATCCTATGCAGCTTTGCACCATGCCTAAATGCACAACTGATGACATTGAGAAACAAATCAGAAGCTTTGTGTGGAGATCTTCGAGCGCAAGTCGGCGGCCTTCTTTAGTTGCTTGGAATCAAGTATGTTTGCCTAAGGAACAAGGAGGCCTAGGTATGAGAAAAATGAAGGACATGAACATAGCATTCCTCATGAAAGTGGGCCATAATATCCTATCCAACCCTAATGCTTTGTGGGTAAGGGTTCTGAAGAGCAAATATAACGTGGAAGAGGGTCTACTTCCTCACATTCATATGCCTAGGAGCTGCTCCAATCTCTGGAAAGGAACTGTTAAGTGTTGGGATTTGGTATTGGCCCATAGTCGTGTACTCATGGGTGATGGTAGGCAGACTCGGTTCTGGTCTGATTCATGGCTCCTGAATCATGGTCCGCTAAGCATATATATCCCAAACACGACTCTTCCAAATTTGGTGAATTGTTCAATAGCAGACTACGTCATGAATACTGGGGGTTGGAATTGGGACTCTCTTCAGCAATTCATTCCTGGCCATGTTTTGGCTCAAATTGCAAATGTCATTCCTCCTTTGATAATGGGTCTTCAAGACCGAGTTATATGGGCTGAATCCTCTGATGGTTTATTCTCGATTAAGTCGGCCTATAGAGTTATTACCAGTAATGTTGCTGCAGGGAATTCAAACCAATGGAGTCATATCTGGAAGTGGGATGGACCAGAGCGTGTTCGCACTTTTCTTTGGCTTCTCAGGAGTGAAAAACTAATGACAAATTCTAGGCGCTATCAATGTCATCTAACTACTTCAGAGGTATGTCCCAGGTGTAACTTTGCAAATGAGACAAACATACATGCAGTTAGAAACTGCCATTATGCTCTAGAAGTCTGGAGTATCTTAGTGAGACCGAATTGATGGGATGAGTTTGTTTGTATGCCTATCGATGTCTGGCTTTAGAAAAATTTATCAGATTATTGTTCTTGGAATGAGGAAATAAGCTGGTCTTTATTGTTTGGTATCACAACTTGGTTTCTGTGGAGAACAAGAAATGAACAGGTGTTTCAAGGAGCGACTCGCACTAGTTACAATATTCATAGGGCTGCGCTTGGGTATTGTGGAAGCGTCAGCCATGCAAATAAAATGTTAAGCATGTCAGGCTTACAAGTGTCAACTCGTTCGGAGAAGTTCATTATGTGGACAAGGCCTCCTGATAATTGGATGAAACTAAACGTTGATGGGGCAAGCTCCTCAAGTACTATGCAATCTGGTTCTGGAGGGGTTATAAAGGATTCAACAGGAAATTGGATTGTGGGTTTCTGCAAGAATCTAGGGTGTGGAAACGTTCTTAATGCTGAACTATGGGCTTGTTTAGTTGGCCTAAATCTCCGTTGGAACAAAGGATTCAAATTTATTTGGTTGGAAGGGGACTCATTGGTGGCTCAACGTCTCATTAGAAATGGTTGTAGTGAAACAAACCCATCTTTTCCTTTGGTAAGAAGCATCCGAGAATTGGTGACCAGAAACCGGAGGGTGCACATCTCTCATATTCATCGTGAAGGAAATAATGTGGCTGATTGGCTTGCCTCCTATTCTTATGAGTTTAATTGGCAGACTCAAGTATTTGTTGATCCTCCACAAGGGTGCCTTGGCAGACTATTTTGTGACTCTATAGGAGTAGGGTGGCCCAGAGTTTGTAGCTAGTTTTTGTTTTTTGTTTTTATCTTCATGTTAATTTCCAAAAAAAAAAAAGAAATGAGGAAAAAAAACCCAAGAGAATAAGAGAAGGAAAAGAGAAAAAGAAGTGGGGAAATAAGAAGGAGGAAATATTGGGAATAAAATCTCATTCTCCTAATATTATTCTTTTCATTTATTATTATATCTACAAGAAAATTGGTATTTTAAAGTTATTTCTTTAAAAGCTGTGAAGGTGCCGTTACTCTATTCAAATATTTTTTTCAGAATCTCTTCTATTCTTTTGATTTATGTGTTATCTTTGAGTTTGTAGATTTGATGAATTTATTCATATTAGTTATAAGAATGATCTTGAATCAAGAATATAGAATTAAAGAATTTCTTTGGTACAAAATGAATATTACAGAATATGTAATTTTTTACTGAATGATTCTGATGTGACTGATTCACTAGAAGATCAAAATAATTATAGGGTAAGGGACGCCTTATAATGACTTGAGCTCCACCATACAAAATATTTCATATACAGAACCTACATAATTTGAACATTAGTCATTTCAATTAGAGACTACACGTTCCTTTATACGTTTGGTGTGGAGAATAACGGGAAAGCATACAAGTTGCAGTCCGTAGAGAGTCTGGTTCGTGAGATACACAAGCCTGGATAACTTCTAAGGGAACAAAGCTGACCAAGAATTACATTTCTGTTCCTATTAGATGGTTACCTCCGGACACAGGTTGGGTGAAATTAAACATGAATGGTGCAACCAAGAGCGATGACAGAGGTGCTGCTTATGGAGGAATTATAAGAGATGAAAATGGTTATTGGATAGAGGGGTTTGCTTACTATATTGGCCATTGTTCAGCTTTTGTTGCAGAATTATGGGGCGTCTTCAAGGGTCTTGAACTTGCTTGGGCTAGAGGTTAGAGACGCTGCATCCTAGAAAGTGATTCAAGCTCAGTTATCACTTTGCTCTCCAGAAGTGGAAGAGCAGCTCGAGAGTCTCGCTTAGTGATTCAGATTCGAGTATGGTTACAAAAGAATTGGGAAGTTCACCTGGTTCATGTTTTTAGAGAAGAAAATAGTTGTGCATATTGACTTTCTGAATATCCTTTAGACTATCCTGTTGAGAATAATTTTTGTGTTTTTTCAAATCCTCCCCCTGGTATCTGGCCTTTGTATTGGACTTATTTGTCTTTGCCTTGTAATTTCAAAACGATTTTATTGAATTGATCTCTTTGGGGTGTTGTTGTTAACCCCCTTAGATTACCAAAAAAAAAAAGACTACACGTTCCTTTATACGTTTGTATGTAGAAACCCATTGTATGTAGAACCCACAAATGTTTGAGTATGTCTGAATGAAGAACCCAAAAATGTCTAGGCTTATATTTATATTTATGATATTATTTTCTTATTATAGATATGATTTGAGAAAATGTTATTTTTCACTAAAGTGATTGGATTGGTTATAGTTCGAAAACCCCAATATTGCTGAGATTTATCTCACTATGTTTGTTTTCATGCTAACCTTTTCAGAGAGTAAACATGTTAGTATGTGTATCATTGGAATGGGATGAAGTATCATGATTAAAGATTATGAGGACTGTACGAAGTTCATGAAGATCGTGTATACAAGCTTAGTTAAAATCCAAACTCAATGTAGAATAGTTTAGAGATAAGAAATCAATGTATTTGACTCAGTCATATGTATAATTAAATTTTAAGTGTATTTTATCATGTGCTTTATTTTATATCCGCTGAGTGAGAATTTTATACTCTTTAATTTAAAAAGATTTAAAAATTTATGGGATATGTTCTATGATAGTCAGTTATAAAGGATGTAGCATAAAACATTCATTTAAAGAAAAAAAACTTTTTAATAAATTTCATTATTGCAATTCTCGCATGCTGAAGATAAAAATGAGTGTGTTATTTTATTTTAGGGTTATATTTATCTACTTTTACATAAGATAATTAAATTTTCTACACACACAAAAGCTAGGTGGGTCCCATTTCTTTTTTTTTCTCTCTCCTCTTATCTATGGGTCCCACTTGCAATCTTGTTTCTACAACATAAGATAAGTATTTACCTACAACATAAGAAAATTATTTCCTCTTTATTACTTGTATTGGCCAAATATTTTCCGTCCATCGTTTGTCCACAACCTACCTCCTACTTATTACCCTATTACACATTTTAAAATTTAATTGAATGAAAATCTCACTTTTGCTACTTTTTACCACAACACATGCATTCCAAAAACAAACAAAACACAATATAAGGAAGGAGTAGGCCAATCAATGTTTAGAGATTGAAGTACGGCATTGGTTCGAGATAAAGAGGTACTTTCTTGTTAACAGTGAGCCCATATTTCTCACTCATGTCCAATTCTTGAACAGTTGCACCATCTCTAGGTAGCTTCCAATCGAACCAATATAGAAGATTAGCAAGCATATACTCGGCGGAAGCAAGCCCAAACGTCATACCAGGACATTTCCTTCTTCCGGAACCAAATGGGATAAATTGAAAGTCTTGACCATTGAAATTCACCTCACTGTTTTCAAATCTCTCGGGTAGAAATTCTTCAGGCATTTCCCAAAATCTAGGGTCCCTCTGAATTGCCCATGCGTTGACATAAACCATTGTTCTATCAGGAATATCATATCCTCCGAGTTTAACACTTGATGTTGTTTCTCGAGGAGCTAAAAGAGGAGCAACTGGATGTAACCTCAGAGTTTCTTTCACAACACATTTCACGTATTCCATTTGATTAACATCATTGTCCTCTAATTTTGGATTATTCCCTACAACTCTTCTTACCTCCTCCTGCGCTTTCTTCATTGTCACTGGATTTTTTACAAGCTCTGCAATAGTCCATTCTATTGTTGTTGAAGTTGTGTCAGTTCCTCCCAAAAACATGTCCTGAAATTATATATGCAAATACAAAATAGTTCATATTTAAGTTTAATGCCTACAGCTAAGTTCTGTTAGTGAATTTTCTCCATACACAAACACAAAGGGACAGAAAGTAATTACCAAAATGAGCGCTTTTAGGTCATCTTGGGTGAGCTCAAACTCTGGCATACCATCTTCTTCAAGTTGAAGGAGAATGTCGAGGAAGTCTTTCTTCTCAGAGTCCCTCCTTGCCGTCTTACGCTCTGCAATTATATGATCAAAGAAAGCATCAAATGCATCAAAAGTGGCCTTATATTTTTTAATCTGGCCAGTGAGAGAGTCAATCCAACCCAATAAAGGAAACATATCTCCCAGATTGAAATCTGAAACTTGAATCATCGTCCTCCTCATAAGCTCTCTGAGTCTGTAATTAACAGAGCCATCTTCTTCATCATACTTCCTTCCGAATATACATCTACAGATTATGTTGTTCGCGGTTGTAATAAGCATCTCACTAAGGTTCACAGAGCAACCATTATTACAGGCTTTGTGTATCTTACTAACCAACACAGCAACTTCCTCTTCTCTAATGAATTGAACAGATTGCACCCTTTTCATGCTCAGCAATTCAAGTACACAGAGTTTCCTTTTCTGTCTCCAGGTTTCACCATAGGATGCAAATGCAACGTCCTTACATCCATAGAGTAAGACTTTTGTTGCTGTGAGGTGGGGTCGGCTCGCAAAAACTACGTCATGAGTTTTCATGACTTCTCTGGCGAATTCTACAGAGGAGACGACCAAAACAGGAAGCTGACCAAGCTGCAACAACAATAGAGGACCATACTTTTGTGATAGAGCTTGAAAGGAACGATGAGGAAGTGTTCCTAACTGATGATAATTACCAATAATCGGGAGTTTAGGTGGGGATGGAGGTAGATTCGATTTGCTTCTTCTTGTGAGCTTAAACACCAGCAGCATGCTGATGAAGCATGAAAGAAACACGAAAAGGTTAGCATTTATAAGGTCGTAGGGTACTTGCTTCAGAAATAGAGCCATTCTTCCTTCTATCTCACAGTTCTTTTTTCTATACCTATTTTCAAATGACGAACCCCTTTATAGTTAAGCGGTGAATTAGCCAGAAATTATTTGTATGAGAATATCATATTTTGTGTGTTTCTTGCGTTGATTACGTCTATATTGTTGCTTCTTGTTATGTGCTTTTAAACACACGGAGAATAATATGAGGCTACAAAAGAGATACGTGTTTCATTCGGCTGACAAAGTGACAATGGCTTTAGATTTTGCTACCGCCATTATTGGATGAAATTCAAAAGGAGTAGATGAGGAACGGAGCTTGTGATTATCGAACAAATCTTTGGTGTTACGGTAGCAGCAAAAGATTCAGTATATCCCACCAATAAAAATATTACATGTCAGTTAAAGTTTTATTTTCTCTGACAATTTTTTTCTCCCTCCTATAATGTGTAATGCTCTCATTGGTGAGATGCACTGAATCTTGGTACAACACCAGCACCAAAGATTTATTCGTGATTATCGAGTTAGCACGTTGCCGCTTTGCAAAATCCAAGAACATTTATCTGCTCAATCCAAAAGGAACATAAAGCCGTATCAAACGGTTCGTCTGTATCATCAGATCTTCTCATCGAAATCCTTCTTAGTTATTTATAACGGTATATCTATCATGTTACCTTTGAGCAGTTTTTTGGACTTTTCAATTTATATATGCACTTTTCTAGTAGACTTTAACCTCTTAAATTGAAACGGAGTCACTTGTTTCATTAAGTAAAAATAGGAATCAGTTTTCATTAATTATTACAATTATTAATTAATAATTTGGATAAGTATAAAGTGGCAATAGAATACTAACTTAACTTTTTAATAACGAATATTAAAAAAAAAAAAAGTTAATTAGAGAAGAATGACACCAGCTGTTTATGTTAGCTGGAGATTTCACTTGTAGGAACTTAACATCTTCCAATTGAGGCAAAGATATGGTTTACACTTGTAGGAAGTTAATATGCATTAAAGAGAAGGGCGTGGTCGAATTAGGATTCTGTTAAAAGTAAAAAAATTTGCTATCTACACCATCAAGCTAAAAGTGTCTAGAGTATATATGTGTGATCAGTTATATTCTTATCATAATGAGTTGGCAATCTTATCCACCAAATTTGTGTGTGTGTGAAAGAGAAAAAAGATAGTGTGTCAAGGTGTGAGAGAAGAAAGTGTTGAAGCACTATGTGAGTAAATAAAAAAAGGAAGTAAAGAGAGATTTGTGAGAAATACAAATAAAGGTTTATGTTGTAATGTTTTGCTCTTGAATGAAATTTTGATATAATAAAAGTTCTTCTTCTATTATACTTGTTCTATTATGTTATTCTATTTCCTAATGGGTTCTGCTATCGTTGCTGCAGAGAAATATTTAACGCTGAAATAAGATCATGAATAAATATTGATTTCATTTTTCTTTTGGTTGTTTTGTAGTCTTTCATCCACGAAAGCCTATCAACTAACAGAGAGAGGGAAGTTGGTCATTTAAAGGAGTTTATGGGTTTATCCATGCACATTGAATTTAATACTGCTTTTCAGACAATTTAACCATGCATATTTGCCTATTTATTTCTTTTGGTACAAGATATACTCAAATTCACCACAACAAACATAGCGCATGATGGCGTTGGGGATAAATATAAGGATTGGTGGAGTCAAGTCAGAAAGGAATACTTGAGTGAACATTTTTATTTATAGAGGAGCTTTTATATATATAGAGATTTCTTCTCTCAATCTCTCACTCTCTGTTTTATTTTTATTTTTTACATTATTCAAGACACTAAAAATATTCACATGTTAGGTGTAGATCCAAATGAGTACGGTGCAGCTTCAAGATGAAGTGGTACTTTCTTGCAGACAGTGAGCCCGTTTATCTCACTCATGTCTGTGTCTTGCATCGATACACCATTAGGCAGCTTCCAATCGAACCAATATAGGAGATTAGCAAGCATATACTCAGCGGAAGAAACCCCAAATGAAATTCCAGGACATCCTCTTCTACCAGTTCCAAAGGGGATTAGTTGCAAATCTTGCCCTTTGAAATTAACTTCTGGCTGTTCTTCAAATCTCTCAGGAAGGAACTCTTCAGGCCTATTCCAAATTTTAGGGTCCCTCTGAATTGCCCATGCATTCACAAATACTCTTGTTTTGGACGGAATATCAAACCCTTTTACTTTGACATCAGACAGAGTTTCTCGAGGTATCAGAAGAGGAGCAGGTGGACGCAATCTTAAAGTTTCTTTTACAACACATTTCAAGTAATTCATTTGATTCACATCATTTTCATCTACTTGTGATTTGTACCCGACAACTCTTCTTACTTCTTCTTGGGCTTTCTTCATGGCATTTGGATTCCTCATGAGCTCCGCAAATGTCCATTCCAGAAGTGTTGAAGTAGTATCGCTTCCTCCAGCAAATATATCCTGAAATTATGAAAAAGGAAAATCTTTACACTCCCATTTCTTTCCTTTTTTGTTTTTGGAAAACCCCATATCTAGGTGTGTCTGTATTCTAGCATATCACCGTGAACAAGAGATGTTAAAAGCCAAAAAAAAAATTATATGTGTACAAAGTAAGAGTGGTTAGAGTTTCAGAAATAAGTGAGGTATAACTCTATATTTATAAAAGTCATTTCGATTTTATGGATAAAAGCTAATATTACTTAAAGCCGGTGAGACCCTTTACATGGGTCGAGAACAAAGTGAAGAATTAAGTGCTGAAAAGGAGAAGTAGATAGGGAGAGAAACAGACCATTAGAAATGCTTTGACGTCATCATGGGTGAGCTGAAAATCATGTTTTCCACCCTCTTGAATTTGAAGGAGTATCTCTACGAAGTCTTTATCATCGGATTGGCCTTCGTCCCTCTTCATTCTCTTGTGTTCTTCAATTACCCGATCGAAGAAAGCATCTAATGCACGGAAAGTGGATTTAAATTCTGGTATTTTGCCTGTAAGAACGTCGATCCAACCTAATGAAGGAAAGAAATCTCCCACACTGAGAGCTGCTAAGTGTTCCATCATCTTCCTTCCTAGCTCTCCAAAGCTGCTACTACCATCTGGATTATCATACTTTTGTCCAAGAACACATCTAGACACTATGTTGTTTGAGGCTACTATCAACATCTCACTCAGATTCACAGAAGACCTTTTTCTTTCGCATGCTTCACGTGCCATATCAACCAACTGTGCAACTTCTTCTTCTCGAATGGATCGAAAGGATCTCACTCTTTTAAGGCTTAGAAGTTCAAGAACACAGATCTTCCTTTTCTGTCTCCACTCTTCGCCGTAGGGTGCAAAAGCCACGTCCTTGCATCCATACATGATGATTTTCTCAGCTGTGGTTTGGGGCCTGTTGGAGAAAGCAGTATCATGATTTTGGAATATTTCTTTGACCACATCTACTGATGAAACCACAAGAGCTGGAATTTGGCCAAGCTGCAGCATCATGATAGGGCCATATTTGTGAGAGAGTGCTTGGAAGGAGTGGTGTGGGAGTGTGCCTAGTTGGTGAATATGACCAATAATGGGTAGCTTTGGTGGGGATGGTGGCAAATTGGATTTGTTTCTTCTTCTCAGCTTAAGCATAAACACGAGGCTTATGAGGCAGAAGAAAGCAGTTAAGTAAAGTGTTGAGTTTAGCTCATAAAGCAATTGCTTTAGAACTGATGATGGTAGAAAAGACATTTTTCCTTAAGTCACTTGGTTTTTTTTTTAGGAAGTGTATGTTGGAGTTAATCCAGCCATTTTTGCAAATTTATTTATAGAAGTTCTTTTCATGAACAAAGCACGTGATTGAATTCTTATACTTTTATAATTAAAGATTGCAAAATACTGATATCATCCCCGTATAATACTGACTCCCAAGGAAAGAGTTTTTCTCGTGTTCTAATCTATAATCCTTTTATATAAGAGATTATGTTTTATGATGTTATCGGAGATAATTTTATTTCATATACAAACATAAAAGTATTGTTGTAAAACCCGGCCCGACCGATTACCAAAAAAAAAAAAAAAACCCCGACCTGACCCAGTCGGGTCGGGTCCACCCGGAACTCGGCGAACCAGTTTGGGTCAAGCATTGGACCGGTCATGCATCGATCTGGTCAAAATTCGAACAAAATCGGCCAAATCTGATCAAAACCGGTGATCCGGTCGGGTCATACATCTTTTTTTTTTAAAAAAAAAATCAAGACTATTTCATCTTATCAGAAAAAAATGTATAACTCATTTTAAAAACTTTTTGTAATTTTATTTGCTAGTATACTCTTCTACAATGACCTCAAATTCAGTTTTCAATATTGAAGCAATTTGCGGAATAATAAATTAAGAGAATGTGATATATGTCATTTTAATGTAGTTGAATTTGAAAAACATAAGTTCAATGTCATTGAGAGTTATGTGTATGGAGATTCTGAGTTGCAATTTAGATTTACATAGTAATAGCGTGCATTTTTATTTATTTATGCATCATGTTTTTGAGCTTATTTAGTGAATTTTGTTTAATTCATTTAGATATGGAGAATATAATTGAATTTATATGTTCATATTTATATATATTTTTTATATCTATATATATCCAGGTCAACCGGTCCGACTAGTGACCCAGTAACTCAGTATCCCGACCAGGTTGATGCCCGAATCAGGTTTAATAACACTGCATAAAAGTGTGTGAGACTTATATGAGATTTATGTGCGGGACTTATGTGCGATTTATGTGTGGGACTTACGTGAGACTACGTGAAAAGAAGAGAGAAGAAAATAAATTGAGCCCCACACTTTTATATATATGGATAGGAGAAAAAATTATTTCATATTACATAAAAAAAAAACATTAATCCCTTTGTACAATGCGAAATTTGTTATACTAAAATTATTACAAGATAATTTTCTAAAAAAAAAAATTATGCTTTTAAATTATAACTTCATTTTTTTCATTCCTCTCTTTCGTTTCTATGCTAATTTGTTTATACTTTTAACCTTTTTATTTA